GTTTGGGGGGGGGGGGGGGGGGGGGGGGGGGGGGGCATAAGCAGGGGGTGAGATTCGGCGGCGTTGCCCATGTCGCTTGGCGACGGGGAACACCAACGGAGACAATGGCGCCAAACACGAGTCGACACCCACAGTACAACAAGCAACGTGGTGGGTGCGTCGTTGCAAATACTTGCCACACGCACCACCTGGTCATCGTCCTGCTCGGCCCCCCGAACTAGGGAGTGGCATCGCGGGACACATGAGACAGAGCAAAAGACTGCTCCATCCAAAAACAACAAAATACGTCTCCCCCTCAGACGAGTTGTTCGACGGCACCACACGGTGGATGTACATACGTATGCAAAAGATTAACGTATGTATATAGACAAAAGTGGGTATACCCACCTCTTTCTCAGACGAAAGTGGGTACTCACAGCCACTCAACATATCTCATTCCGACGCATGGAAAACATGGCCCATGCACAGCATGAACATCAGCTTTGACGGACTTTCGGGCACGTCTTCGCCCTACACACCGTCGCGGTGCGCAAGGCCTCAGAAAAGGTTGCCCGATTTTGTCCGAAATTCCGGTGGGTATTCCCTCCGAAAAATAATGGAAGTATATTTTCATGTACCCACCTTTGTCTGCGGTGTGAGCCACTTTTGTCCGAAATGTACCCACTCTTGTCCGATTTTTCATTTGAAAAGTTCCCCCGTGCGGTGACGTGGAGGTCGATTTTCGAATGAAAAAATCGGACAAAAAGTTGGGTACACATTTCGGACAAAGGTGGGTCACACAGCACAAAAAGTGGCACATGAAAAATATGCAAGTAGTAGATTTCGGTGGGAATACTCACCGGAATTTCAGAAAAAATCGGGCAACCTTTTTTGAGGCCCTGTGTGCACCGCGGCCGTGTGTAGGGCGAAGACGTGCCCGAAAGTCCGAAAAAGTTTTTGTTCATGCTGTGCATGGGCCGCATCGGAATATGATATTTTGAGTGCTTGTGCCCTGTCACGAGTGGTCTCCGCAAATAATTTTTTCGACCCACTTGTCTGAGAAAGGGGAAAGGGGTGCACATAGATCTTTGTTCTGTTGCCTCCATTATACTCCCATGCCCTGGTGCGTAGTGCCTGACGCTGGTACGATACACGCTTTTGATTTTTTTTTAGGCGGGTGCGGGAAGCGTCCTCCTTTGTCCCTCTTTATTTTTGCCTTTATTTTTGTGTTGTTTTATTTTGATCGGTTTCCTACAGAGCTCCTTTTCTCGACCGGTCGGCGCGGCAGCTGTCCTTTCCTTTCTATCATGTTGTTTCTTTATCCGAGTGGTTTGTACTCTATTTTTGTTTTGTTTCCCCGCGGCGTCGTATGTGCCGGGTTTTGCGACCACGGGCTACCCATTCTTGTGGACTGTAGACTAGAGCTAATGCGAGAAACAACAACAACAACAAACAATAGGTAACCCACTTTGCCTATTTCCCAAAAAAAACAAAACCAACCAAGAGTGCAACCGAAACTTTTCCCACGACACGCACGCACCGGGTGTGACGACCGGGCAGTCCACGAACTCTTCAAGGAACCCGCAGAACCGGCAGTAGAAGTCGCCGGAGGCGTTGCACCCGATCCCGTTGCCGTCGCGCGGGCAAGAGGGGTCGTCGAAGCAGGGGAAGTCCTCCGACTCCAGGCACCGGGAGGAGCACTCGACGTAGTCGGGGTCCAGCGTGGGCGCCGGGGACGGGGCCGGCGCCTCCGTGGGGCGCTCCTCGTCGCACTCGACGTACGGGGCCCCCAGGTCGCAGAACTGGCACAGCGGGTCGTCCTGCGCGTTGCACCCGATCCCCCCCGTCTCGCACATCTCGTTGTTCTGGCACCGCTCGGTGTCGGACGTGAGGCAGTCCGCGCTGCAGTCCTCGAGCTGCAGCTTCCGCCTCCTCGCCGCCGCCCGCGATGCCGCCACCGCCGCCAGCGACGCCATGCCGCCCAACTCGTCGGCGTTTGCTTCGGCGGCGGCGGCGGCGGCGGAGGTGTCGACGCCCCCGTCCGTGTACGACAGCGCAGCCGACGCCGCCGGCTCCAACGCTCTCTCCGCAGCTTCTGCCCGTCTGCTGCCCACCCCCCGGTCCCCCGCCGCTGCCGCTCCGAGCGATCGCGGCTGCCACCACCGCTGCGCCCGGCCCCTCCCCGACAACCTCCTTCCCCCCAGGTATGTCGGCAGGACGCCGAACATGTGCCGGAGGCTACTCCCCCGCCCCGGCAACGGCGCCGGCGTCGCCGCGACGCTCAAAACGCCTCCCGGTTCGACGACGAACACCGAGGCCCCTCTTCCCATGACGCTGCTGGGGCCGACCCCGCACGCCTCGAGACGGAAGGCGACCGAGTCTCGCCGCCGGTGGGCTTCTTCCGTATCCTCGATCCGGATGGACACGGTGTGGGTGTCGTCGTTGTCGACCGCCATCGATCGGGGGGATCCGTCGCCGGTTCTTCAATTGGGGCGTTTGCGGTGGTGCAAAGAAGAGACAGCAGCAGGTAATGTTAGACACGGCCGGCACGGCTGGGACGCCAGAACAGAAAAAGCTCGTAGTTCAAGTCGTTCAGGGAGTAGATTTTTCGAGCTCGCTCGGCAGGGGAGGCAGGTACAAGGGTGTGGTGGCGTTTCCGAACGTCATTGGCAAAGAAACGTGTATCTACCCGACGCAACAGACCGGGGGGTTGGGTTTGGAACACTGGAACTTCCTGCTGTTTCACTTGCCGAATGCAAGCATGAGGAGTGTTGGTGTTCCAAGATTGTCGTGGAACGCGGCTCTTCAAGCGACAAAGAACGAATACAATAGATGCTTCCAAATTATTATCCCGGCTTGGTGTCTAACGGAAGGTATATTATCAGTTGGGGATTCAGACTGCTACAACATGCGTGTGCCGCACAGCAACCGCCGATACGCGGAACAAATTGACTCGAGCAAGTCAGGACCGCGTTAATTGATTCACCCAAGACTAGGTACTAAATACGCCCCAGTATCCAGCCGGTTCTTCCGTCCCATTAATTGCAAAGACCCCAGCACATCCCCTTCGACTGCTGTGAGGCATTTCAGCAGTATCTCGAAGGGTAGCCTATCTTCGATGATGTACACGTGCTTTCCAATGTTAGGTTTCTAGCGTGAAGACAATAACGACGACGACAACGACAACGACAAGATGTACCGCATCACCTCGTGCAGCCCATTGTACCAAACACGGGAGATTGGACAAGAGATGATCCAAATGACAAGGGGGTCGGAACATGCGACGCGTTTTGAAGGTGTCGGATGCGATCATCATTCGTACAATGCGTATGATACAATGCATACGAAAGGGACGTCATCATTGGGGCAAACACACCTCAACCCTGCGCAAGCCAGCGACACGCCTTACCTGCATCCTACATATATATGCCACCACCACGACCCATCTCGCCTACAGATTCATGTACAAATAGCGCCAGTTCTGTGTTCGCGAAGCGCATCATGGAACATGGCACCACGTACAGCAGTACCTAATGTATGCCCGACCCACCGCACACACACACACACGCTTCCCGCAACCCAACGATCTTGTTCAAAGACTTGTCTTCGGATCGATTTGTTCAGTTTAACCCTGCGGATCAAATAGATAAGACTCGTGGATATTATTACACAAAAAAGATCAGGCGTGCAGGTGTGCCCTATCGAGTACGCTCTCGCAGAATAATGCATGCGCGCGAGTGGAGGCCCTCTTCCGGTACATGAACGTCGGTACACAAAGGGTCGGAAAAGGAAAGTTCTCACATCATGTCACGTCACATCGAGCCAAGCGGCGAGAGAAGAGCCCGAAACACACATCACACAGCCCTCCCCCGCAGTTTTAGATTTTGCGTTGCCCAAGAGACAGCAAAAACAAAACCTTCATCAGCACCAAGCAGTAGAGCGCGTGTGAGGTTGCAAACATTATCGTACACCCGGCATGTTTATATTTTCATCGCAGGAGAGCTTGCTCTTTGAGGATATACATATGTTGGACAACGCTGCTGGATGGGAAAACGGACAACAAACGTCTTAGCCGGGGTTCTGAAAATGAGCGTGTGTGGCAAACCGCGGCGGGATGCACACCATAACAGAAGGCAAGCACCGCAAACACTTGGCTCACTCAACCGGAGACACCTAATCGGCACGTTAGGGGGCCTGAGAGAGTTACCGCAAAAATTATCTACTGCTGTTGGTACATTTGCGTTTCGAAACGGGGCTCCCTCTCTCTCAAGGAAACACACGCCCCATAAAAAAATGATGCATCCACGAAGAAAACACTCTCCTCTTCTTCACCAGCAAGTCATCTCAGCGAAGACACACGCAATTGATTCTCAGACTCTTTTGTCTTTCCGCCGATAGTCGATGTATCGAGAGCTACACGATACTACCCCCCCGTCCGCGCCTCGTTGAACATGCAGTGCACTTGCAGCGGACATGCACCCCCGTGGGGGTTACGCTGTTACGAGTACAATGTTGCCTCGGTGGTTTTGGAGCAGGATTCAGAGGGAACAATAACGCGTGAGTGAGCACATACATGACGGCAATCAAACGGAATATACACGGCATAGATAGAGCCATCCTACTAGTCTATCTATGTTCTCTCTCGCTTGCTGCCTTTTGTTAGAGATGGATCTCTCACGGAGGGCTTTCCCACTCACCGCCGCTGCTGGTAGACGCGGTAGTTGAACTCTACACCCTCGTCCAAGCCGAAGACTCGCAGCGTCTCCGACGGGATGGTAGCACCGAGCCCCACGTCCAGCTCCACCCCGAGCACTCTGGCATGCTCCCCGAACCCAGAGAACTCGAGGTCCACCCCACACTCCTGCTCCTCCTCCTCCCCCGTTCTTTGAATGCCACCCCCATGGCCTCCCTCCTCTCTTCTCCTCCCTGCTTCCCCGCACACCGCTGCACATCTGCTCCCGCCGTCTGCTGCCGCTGCTACGACAGGCCACGCGGTCCATCTCGCGGTCCTGCCGCCATGGCTGCTGCTTCCCGCTATCCGAGAGGCCCCGGCCGTGCTCGCCTCCGCGCCGCAGACAGCCGCAAACAGCAGACGCAGGAGGGAAAAGAGCGAAAAGT